AACCAGGTTGAGTATCTGGGTTTTGTAGCAAATCGGCTCAGATCTTTCTCAGCCCTTCATCCTGTTCACTCCCTTCTTTCAAAGCTTCTCAATTTAAGATCATGGGTACTTACAAGGCTGCTAACTGAGGCTCCCCAAGTCGCCTGGGCAAGGCGTCTGCTGCTTTGTTTTTTAAGTCCAATCGGTTCTAGATCTTAAAATCATACTCAAGCAACTGGAATAACCATCGTTAATGCTCCTTAGTGACTATCCGTTGTTCCAACAAATACTTCATGCTCCTTTGATCTGTCCTAACTAGGAAATATATCCCCAACAAATAGAGCCACCACTTCTGAATAGTCAAGACAATAACCATTAGCTCCCGCTCATGCATAGACTCGAGTCTTGCCCTAGTTGTGAGCACCTAACTGAAATAAGCAATAGTAGTTGATCCTGCATGAGCATTTCCCCCAATCTGTATCCTAACGCATTTGTCTCCACCACAAATGGTTTGTTGAAGTCAGGAAGTGTTAGCACTGGCATACTGGTCATCACTTTCTTCAGTTGCTCAAAAGTCTGCGATGCCACCTTCACCCACTTGAAATTATCCCTTTTCAGCTGGTCAGGCAATGGCCATGCTATCGTGTCATACCCTCGCATAAACTTCCAGTAGTAATGAGGCCTAAGAATCTTCTCAGCTCCCTCAGGTTCTTAGGTAAAGGCAAATCCAGCATAGCCTCAATCTTGGACAGATCTGCTGCTACTCCTACTTTGTTTACCACGTGTCTCAGGTACTCCACATATGGTTGTGCAAATGAAATTTTTTTCAGGTCGGCATACAACTAGTGCTTCTCTCAATGTATCCAACACCATCGTCAGGTGTCCCGTATGCTCTGCCTCCGTACGATTATAGATCAGGATGCCATCAAAAAATACCAAGATAAACTTTCTGTGATAGGGTTGAAAAAGCTTATTCATGAGGGACTAAAAAGTGACTGGGTGTTGGTAAGGCCGAAATGCATCATTAAAAACTCATAGTGACCCTCGTGAGTTCTTAAAGGTATCTTTTGTATATCCCCTGGCATCAATCTAATTTGGTGGTACCCCAATTTCAAGTCAATTCTTTAGAAGATGACCTCCCCAAATAGTTCATCCAACAACTCATCAATCACAGAAATAGGAAATTTGTCCAATACAATTTTCTTGTTTAGGGCTCTATAATCCACGTAAAACCTCCAACTGTCAGCCTTTTTTCACTGGTAAAATAGATTTGGAAAATGGGCTCACACTTGTTATCTCTACCTTGAGCATCTCTCTGATGATTCTCACTATCTCATCCTTTTGGATCTGCAATACTGGTACAGTCAGACACTGATAGGAGAAATTCCCTCCTTCAAGGTAATCATGTGCTCGTGCTGTCGGGGTGGTGTTAATCCCTAGGTTGCTGAAAAACCTCAGAAAACTATTGCAAAAGCTGATGTACACACTCAGGGACCTAATCTACCTATAATCTTGGATCCCCTCCAAGCTTTGTAGCTCTACCAAGTAGCCAATTCCTGCTTCCTGTATCATCTTGACCGTGATTTTGAATGAACTATAGTTATGCATAGGCTTACATTCCCTCACAGCACCACCTTCTCCCCCTCCACATGTATCTCCATATTCAAAAACTTCAGTCCACCTTGGCCTTCCCAATCATCTGTAACCACTTCATCCCTAGGATTACATCAGTGCTCCTCAACTCCAAGAGAAGAAAATCTTCCACTATATGTATGAATTGGAGTGCCAGCACCAACCCTCTACAAATCCCCCTACTCCTCTCTACCTTTCTTATTCCCATCATGACTCCAAAGCCCTTGTATCTACTAACTTTAATCTCAACTGGTCCACGACCCAGTTGGAGATGAAGTTATAAGTAGCCACACTATCCACCAAAACCACCATTGGTTGTTCCCCGATTTGCCCCCTCACCTTCATGATGTGATTTGGGGTAAATTTCAACATGGAGTCCAAGGACATTTCTACCAAATCTAGATGTAACTGCTTTGTTTCCTCTATGATCTCCTCTTGCTTGTCCTCGCTCCCCTCTTCCCCTTCACAGACCATCAAAACTTGAAGGGCTCGATTCCTGCACTTATGCATCGATGCAAACCTTTCATCACATCTAAAGCATAACCCTTTTACCCGCCTATCCTATACCTCTGCTTCTGTAAGAAGCTTGAAATTACATCCAGGACAAACTCAATGTTATTCTCCTTCGATGCTTCCCTCTGAAATGACACATCATCATGGAAGTATTCTTGTAAGCCCCTCCCATGGTGTTGATCCAGCTAGCCTTCTCTCTCTGATATTTCTCTTCCACCCTTTGCGCTAGTTCCATTGTCTCCCTCAGCCCCCAAAGCCTCAACAGTCTAAGCTCTGCTCGTATATCTTCCTTAAGACACTTCATGAAATTCCCTTCCAATCCTTCTTCATAAGTTCCCCTCAACCTATCGACAACAGCTCAAATCTCTCCCAATACTCCATGATTGTCACCTCCTGAGTTAAGGCATAGAACGGCTCATAGAGGTCTCCTTCCTGAATAGTTCGAAAACGTTCCAACAATTAATCCTTAAATTCACCCCATGAATAGATCGAATACCTAGCCTCCCTCCACTAAAAACAAGCTAAGGCTTTGTCCTCCAAACATAACCCCACTGCCATGAGCTTTTCTCCTTCCGTCAACCCATTGATAGCAAAGTAACGCTCCACCCTATACACCCACCCTTGAGCGTCTTCCCCTTCAAAAACCAGCATTTTAGCTTTCTTAATATTGCATCCATACACCAGTGGTTTCTCCCTCCATTAGTTTCTCCTGTGCAGAGATTGTGCGATTCTCTCCCTTCCTCCCTTAGCTAATTTGGATCACGTGGTTCGGCCCAACCACTGCTTCCTTCGATCCACCTTCCCTCTTGTCCGGGTGGTCTCCAAAAAGGTTCGGCCTCCCCCCTTCTTGATGCCTTTTCTCCGGGATACCCTGATGCACCTCTTATCGGAACACCCTAGGATGATCCTTAAGGGAAAATACTCTCCACTTCATCATCGTCCTCCTGAATTTTTCAGCCCTAGAATAGCCAGTGAAGCCTTCAACTGCATCTCAATCAATTTCTTCATCATGTCTTCCAAGTTCTCAAAGTGGTACTCAATGGATGAATGCCTTCCTTCCACAATTGTGAACTTCCTCTCCATTTCGGAATATTTTTCCTCCATCCAAGCACTGAGTTGTTCCATCTCACCTTCCAATGCCTCCATCTTCTTTGTTGTCATTTACCTCGCTATGATACCAATTTAATGTCTTGGAAGTGAAAACAGCAATAGAACAATAGAAAAGCTGCATAAATTCTAAGAATAATAGTTGGTTTTGGATAATAACTTCAATACGAAAGCAAGATACATATGATCTACAACTAGAGAGATAGATTGGCTCTCCCAATCAACCTAGACGTCACTAGGAAGCCCTCAAAGGAAAGAAACTATAACAAAAAATAAATCAAGACATCATCTGAAAATACAATATGATTAGCTCTAAATAGGATTCCCAAATTCCCTCCTAAACCAGCCCCTTCCCTAAATTGATTCCCTCCTCAATTTGAATTTGATTTGGATCTCTTTTATAAATAAATTCTCCCCCAATTACAATTAAGATCTTCCTAAATATCTCTCCCTCTATTTATCTTTCTTACATATTGAATTAATCTTTCCCGAGCCCCATCGGAACCCCCCTCTCTGCTCTACTGGCTCCTACCCAGCATTGGTGCTTGGTTCGGTTCTCCTGAATCGGGTGGGAGACTCCCGCCCGTAGGAGGCCTACACGTAACATAGTAAAGGAGGAGGCATCGCGCATGGAGATTGCATCATCACGCATATGTAGTGTATTCTAAATTTACCCGAATTAAGTGAATAGCAAATACAAGAAAAATGATCAATCAATGGGTCCCAAATCTCTCATCAAATTACTTGGAATTTTTTTTCTTCCAACAAAAAAAAACCCATTCCAAAACCATTGAATTTGGTTAACCTTACCCTTCTAACACATCCAACGGTCCTAAACAGATTCCAAATTTCATATTGGGCATTTAACACTGATAGTGACAACATATTAAACATTTTAATCTTATCGTCAAGCTGAATGCTTGCTCAAACAAATAGCGCATGGGATCATGAAACTGAAACTTGAACCAAGAACGAAAGCACTAGAAATTCAATATAAACATTCATACCTCAACAGACCTTAGCTTAGGGCAAAATGCCTTGCATTAACTACCCACCGAAAAACAGAGCAGAATGGATTGCGAGCATAGGTAGGTTGAAATGAGTTCAACCATATACGTACGGGAGTACGGCACACTTCACTTCGTCATATACATGCTACTACAAAGATCTCCTGACAAACACCAATTCTACTAACAGATTCCAACCTAGGCATTTTCATGCACTAAGTTCTACCACTAAAAACTTTGAAATGAAAAATTCTGAAAGGTTGATATGATGGAATATGTATCAAAATCAAGACACAAGCTTGTTACAACAGCTATAGATTTGAAGCTTAACATCAAAACCTTCACACGATACATGCTAAGACTAAATGTGTCGTGCAGTTCATAACAAAGGATTTCATGCAAATAAAACTCTCTTTCAAGGTTGAAAACCAGTTTATGTATGTATCGATTTTTTGAGGTAACATGAATCTGTAGATCAGCGTACATGACACCACCAATATTAATAATTGATAGTGCATTGTCACTTCTTGCAACTTCATTTATGAACAAAAACAATCGGAAAAAAGTATTTTGACATATTAACAAGAATAATAATAGTCTTTGTAAAATGCATCGCTAAGGAAAAAAGTTCTACAAAGATAACTTATTGGCATTATAAGTGTAAATATTGCAGTAAACGCAAATACTTAATTCATATGGCCATTCTGAATCTATAAACCAACTAATGAATAAATATAATCCCTGATGTTATGCTTTACAAACCTGCATGCCAGTTTGTAAGCGAACAAAATCATCCAAATACACAGACACCTTATGAGGAACCTGCACTAAAAAATAAATTCATAATCATAGTCGTTAAAGACCTAAGCAGTCCAATCAAACCTAAACATTTCAAACTATTCCTATAAAATTAAGAAGGGTTCATCCCCCATAGGATCAATATTTTACTTTTACAATAGAAAAAATTTAACAAAATAATTTCTTCACTCAAAAAATTACTTTAACCAACTCATAATGTGATGACAAGTTGCATCAATAGTTTGGATGGGTACTGGTTGATGGAATCAAAAGAAACTATGGGCCAATTGCAATAAGAAAGTAATCTCCTATGTGCTTGAGTGATCCAATAAAAGGAAGAAACCCTTTTAATTGCATTTACTAAACAGCAGTAGAAAGGGGTGGCGATATAATCAGTGGACATAGAACTTTCAGGCAGCGTACTTCCCAAAATTACACAGAAATTTGTACAATGAAGTTGTACTACTATTTACGATTCTTTTTGAATTATCTAACGTAAAATAGCAATTACCTTCATATCTTTCAGCATCATCACAAGGTCAGCTCTTGTATAACCTTTCTGAAGGTTCACCCTAGCATCAGTAGTTTTCTCCAATTAACAATGGAATTTTCAACTAAATTAAAGTAACTAGGAAAAAATAATATTCAATATAGACCTGAGACAGAAGCTTGGATCGGTATTGTTCCAATTCATCAGCTTCACAGCTTCCTCCTGCCCGAGAGATTTTGTCCACCTCCTCACCATCCACTATTTAACAGATAATCAGATAATGCAAAGAAATTCACTTATACTGTTTGTTCACAACATTCTGAATAACCACAAATAGTTCTAGCAAATATTGTGTGGAAGCATCGACATCTTGGCATGTAAACTTACAACAGGATGCGAGTGGATGGTTGCAAGAGCACGTGCTTGTGCTCGTTCATCACCTTCTACTTTAGGTAGGGGCAGAAAATTCTTTTCCTGTATCAGAAAATATGAAGTAAGATAATATTAAACCCAAAAAAGTGAAAAAATGATCAAGAAAAGCATATTCAAGACAACCAAACCTTATGCAGAACAAGCTTCCGCAAAATCCCATTTACCATGTTCCCTGCACCAGGTCTGAGAGAAACCTTAGCAAGTCTAACATTCTGCAGTTTAAGAAATTATGTTACATGTAGATAACATTTCCTAATGATCTTTTTTTAAATATTAGAAATGATCTTTCTTTATTAGATTTGAATGAGAATTTGACTTTTAACAGGACACAATGGCAAAAAATAATTCATATAGCCGACCCCACGTAGTGGGACAAAGGCTTGTTGTTGTTGTTGTTGTTGTAGTAGATAACATTTCCTAATGTTATATATCACTAAAATCTCATTAATGTCAAATGGATAGTGAATCACAAGCATCAAATAGAATATACTCAGGGCAACTAAAGCAAAACAGTAATGATCAAAAAATAAAGAATATCATCATAAAATTTTAATTCCTTGTCCTCTTCTATACTTAAAGAGAAACAATCAAATAAACATCATGAAATTTCAGTCACAGATTGCATGATAAAAAAAAGCTTTAAAGTTCTTCATAAACCAAAAACAAAGTATTGCTAGCAAAGAAAATAGATGGCATATAATACTTTTTTTTCTACTAAGTGTAAAAGGAAAACAAACAGGAGGGGCGAAAAACATAAGAACAAGTGAACAAGCCATGTCCAATAAATATTCTATCTAAAGCATAGCATCATAAAATTTCTACTATAGCAAGATTTTAAATAATAACTTCATATCAATCATTACAGTTTTCATGCTCAAGAATCATCGAGAGTCGTGAACAACATACTCATTTTGTACAGATGCTATAAAACAGATGTTAATCATAAATAAAATCACCTCATCAACAACAGCATAAGGTGGCATCCCTAGCTTGATGATCTCAAAGAAACCAATGCGAAGAATCTATAATTAGAAGAAAGTGTTGTTTAATCAATAAAATTTGACAAGAATATGATCACTTAAAATGTAAATACAGATAAATGGTTTTTCATTTAGAGTTTCCCAACATTCAGGCTAAATAGGATGTCGAGCTTCACCTGTAGCAGGAGTGGTTCCATGTCTCTAAATGTCTTCTCCCCATTACAAAGAGACATGATAAGATGATCAAGATATCTTCTCCACCTAACAGCACCTCCAACAACATCTGAAACCTAAGAGGATAAAATGCGCAAATTTTATAGAATAAATGGCAAGTTAATTAGGGAGAAAAGAAGGGGCAAAAAAAAGCAATATATGCGGACAATACCGCAAGCACAATAAATATGGTCAATTAACAAACTGTGATACTGACAAACTTTAAGGCGCAAAAAGGTTATAATAACACTATTACGACAACTGTAGAATGTGCAACAAATTTTGAACAAAAATGCAATGTGGTAGTCAGCTAACAACTAAACAAATATTCTTGAGGCACATTGGTTGCTTGAAAAGATAAAACATGTTTTGATTATTTCATCTATCACTCATTCCGTGCAAAAATGAAATCATCATGGCTGAGAAACTTGTGTTTGTAGTGTTTATAAACAAATAAACAATAATGATTTCTAACCACATAATCTACTAAATCAATTGTTTTTTTTTTCCATACATGATTTATAACTTCAACAAACTGAATGGTCACTAATAATGAAATGTCTTATTCAACTTTGCAAATTTGACCCAAATCGTTAAGATGGTTATGCACATCTCATTATCACATGGATCTACGATAAATCAATGATCAACTTATAAACGGGTTGTGCTTCACCATTCAGCATTAATTCAGCATGGCTTAAGTATTTTCATCTATTTCTTTGATCAATAGAAACTTATTTAATTACAACAGACATTCAGCTAAATGCTTCTAATTAAATACATTACCATTGTCATGTTCAGGCTACAATGTCATGATCTGACATAATGTGATATTAATGTTATTTCACTTTAAATTGTGGCACCACAAGTAGAAGAAGATAAACAACCCTCAAGGTTTCTTTATTTTGAGCTTCATGCGATCTTGAAACGTAAGGGGATCAAAAATTTTCATTCGTGATTAAAGAACATGGATTACCCTCCAATTGTAAAGCTGCCTTATACAAGTTGCAATACTTAAAAAAAATGATTTTTTTTTTTTTTTGCAAGAAATGCTGGTTTTCTAAGCCATACAAGAAAATCAAGTTCTAGATTTCTATCCCATATTTAGATTCAAGTAATCATAAAATGTGGAACTTATTCCATTATAAGAAAAAAACCAAAACATTTTGACAGAATAAAATAAGAATGGGTTCGTATTTCTTTTGCCATAAATGAGACTGGTACTACAATCACTTCCATAAAGAGAAAATAGGGATTAAAAAAAGACTCTCACAAGTTATCACAAGCAGATAATGCATAACCCTCCCCTGTGATTTTCATAAGAATAGCAGGAAGCAAACAGGCTTGAACCAGAAGAATTTAAGTACCAATCTAACATCCCTATCCTCCAAATCCCGGGTCCGAAAACCAAGTGTCCTCTCAACATAATCCATCTCATTCTTCAGAGCTTTCCGACCCTTATCACTCAATAGATCAGCAAACGCCCCGCCCTGTTCGATTCTCAACAATCTCACTGCAGAAACTGGCACCCATCCAAAAAGGCAAACCTAATAACTCAACAGAACTATTACAAATGAGAATATGCGAAAAAAAAAAAAATTTACCTGCTCTATGAGGAGAAACCTCGGTGTTCACTTTATGGGTCCTCTTCCTTGAACTTGGAGGCACGCAAACTGGGCTCCCATCTGTGAAACATGAACAGAACTATAATTTCAACGATTGTGCGTCCAAAGAAGCAAGGGTTAAGGTCTGCACCTGCTGTGTTTGACGAAGTTCCAGAGTGAAGCTTAGGCGTTCTGTCGGTGCTCGAGGAAGCCCCCGCCATGGAATCGAAAGCACGGGGACCGAAGATTCTACCCCAGCGTGTACAGTGATTGGGATTTGGGAAACAATATGAAGAAACGTAAGACAAGGAGAGGGTTCCCTCCATTTTCCTCTGCAAGTCTGCTCTCCCCGCTGCTTGTGAAGGATAAGCGTTTTCACCCTGCCTCTTCTCGCGATTTATTTATTTAGATTAGTAAATAAATTTGAACATATATTTTTCATTTGACATATAAGTGAACTTTAGGATCATGGTTACATTGAAACTCATAGGTTTTGCTAGCCTTGAAACACACATGCTTCATTATATATAATCATCCATGAAATCATGAGTTGAGCTAGGCTTGAATGCATTGGTTTTGTTATTACAATTCTGCCATTTAATTCATAGATTAATCATAATACTCCATAAAACTCATATATTGAGCTTTAATTTACCTTGAAATATATTTGCTTGACTTATATATAGACATCTAATTTATTTCTTAGGGTCCAATGGTCGATCAATGGTAACACGTGTGGTGTGCTATGTAATACTCACTGAAATAGTGTTCAGTTGCACATGTTATGACCTGATCCAGTAAGTTATTTGCTCTCACCTACGCACTACACTTATTAGGGTAGATTGGTTAATTTTAATTTTAATTGACTAAAGATTGATATTTAGAGCTTAATTGTATTATCTCGTTAAGTTAATTGGTGATGATTTATCCTAAATAAACTTGTATAACTTGAAACTCAACTATATCTAAATTATTTTGTATCCTAGTTGGAAGAGAATGCTTATACTAGGCTTAAGACAAATAAATCATAATGAACCCTAAGGATGAGTTCTTTCTTAAAATAATATCATATAAGAGTTGACTATAATTATTATCTTGGAATTATATTATGTTGATCAGCTCTACTTTTTTCTTCCAATGCTACTCAACATCAAGATTGATGTCTTATTGAATTGACAGATTTATTGTGAAACCCTTAAACTTTAAAGAAAATTTTAGCTAACTCAAAGAAGTTCGTCCGATACAAACTGAGTTCATTTGGGCCATAATTTTTTATTTCGTCTGTACAAATCGTCTGGATGAATTGAATGTGATCTGAAGAGAGGCGTTCGTCACGGTACGAAATTAATTATTGTCTGTATGATCTTCGTCCGAGAACAGAACATAGGTGTTCGTCTCTGTACGAAATTAATTATCGTATATACGATCATTGTCCTATAACAGAACAGAGGCGTTCGTCCTGGTACAAACATAAATATCGTCCATACGATCGGAACTATCTATTTAGTCATTTTCACGGTTTAGAGAAACGAATAGAGAGAGGAAGAGAAGAGGAAATCTAGTTTTTGGACCCGTTTTCGTCCGTCGACGCAATTGGAAAGGTTATTCGACTCGAGGTAAGACACATTATGTCTATCTCAATTTTCAAAAAAGTGAAAGTTTGACGAATATTTCGATCTAAATTTTCTATCCATTAGCGAAAAACAAAGATAACTTTGCACCAGTAATACTTTCACCGCATAACTTTTTATATGATATAGGGATTATGATTATGCACATTCTGAATATTTTAAGTAAAATTTTCACATGGCATTCTGAAATCTAAGAGGTTTTTATTGAATAGAAAATTATCGGGATGTTGAAAAATATTATTGTAGAACAACAAAAGTCTTAAAACATTGTTTTACACAATCCCTAGTAATTTAGTAATTTTTTGAAACTATGTATTTTGCCTCGTTGGATTTTCTATTGTTTATTATTATACAATATTGTGATATTTTGATACATACCCAATTACTCTATAATTGTTATAATGTGATGATATATGTGCACATGTGATTAAATGATATCTGTTAGGAGTTATAATGGGCCATAATTCTTTGAGATTATATCTATGTCACGGAATTTTTAAGAGTTATAAGGGGCCAGAATCTTTTGAGATTTTATATGTGTTAGGGAATTTCAAGGAGTCATAATGGGCCAGAATCCTTTGAGATTATGTCTGGGTCCGGGAAATGTGATGTGAATCTGATATGTTCTGGTGCTGTAAGCACAAATGAAAGGGAGTCATACGGGCTAGAATCATTTGAGATTATGTCTAGGTCCGAAAAATGTGATCTGAATAATACTGTGATATGAATTTATATCTATTTATTTATTTTGTTCTATTATCTGATTCATTTGTTCAGCATTGTTATCTTATTCATCTGTTTTGTATGGTTATATGAATCATATAATATTTGTTATGTATTCATTACATTATTCTGTTTTGTGATTCTCTGTTTAGTGAATTATTTAAACTGCAATTAACTGCTTTAAAATATTTGAAATTAAAAAATGTTTGGAAATTTATATTAGCTTTATTTGACTTGCTAAGCTGTTATAGCTCACTGTGATTTTACTCATGATTTTCAGGACTTAGTAAAGAGAAAGAGGTTATGGACTAGCTGTCCAGGATCAGATATGAGGTTATAAGTATTTTACTATTTTAATTTTTGTATAGTTTAGTTTACTTTTCAATTTTGTAACTCTTGTATGTAGTCATGGACTGTATTGTATATAATTATTTTGATGAATGAAAGAAACTTTGTGGATGAGTTTTTCAGTATTTGGATATTTTGATAGCTCTGTAGTTCTTCATTATGTCAATGAATATCGGTAGAAAATCTAAAATAATTTCAAAATTATATATTGGGATTTGCTTGTCACCGTCCTAACATGATAGGACATATCATGGTTGGGATGCGACAAACAACTTGAGTGGTATCAGAGCAATAGTTTTGAAATTGGATCATATAATAGAGCTATAAGAATTGATCTATAAGTCTGGTGGGGTAGTTTCTAGTATGTTTGAGTGTTCATTATTTTTATTTTATGTGCATGTGTACATAGTTGCATATTATGTGTGATTATGGATTCACCATACCCTGACATGATCGATGGATAGAGTGCTAGTCATGCGGCTCCTGTATATGGTCCTGCTCTAACAGTTGGTTCAGATATAGTTTCACAGTTTGCTACATTAATAGCTCAAATGATGGGTGAGGCATAAAGCAATTTCTATTGTTAGATATGAATATGTAGATAGACATCTGCATATATTTATGAGATTGAAGCCTCCAAGATTTGAGGACACTGTTGAGCCCAGAGTAACAGAGGACTGGTTGAGGAGGTTGGAAAATATATTTAATGGTATGCAATATCCTCTTAATTGATAGAAATGTACCGTTAGCAGTCTTTCTATTGGATGGCGATGCAGAGTACTGGTGGATGGGCTAGCAGGAGGAGAAATTTCAGGGGAATTGAACTCTCTAATTACTTGGACAAGAATTGACCAAGTGTTATGCATCATAAAAGAGCTTAATAACCATAGTCAAAATTATAGCCACATCCCATGACATCACTTAATATTTTGCCATCACACCAAGGGTCCCAAAAAAATGAAGGGTTACTGCTATGGGTGACTTTGAGAGAAATAAAGCTTTAAATACGAGAATCAGTAGAGTATAACAACTTATAGTAAGAAGAGGTTTAAGATGAAGGGGAGGTAATCTTTCAAAGTGAGCAAACTTTAGCCTGTACCAAGTAACTAACTAGTTATGCCTATTGTATATGTGTCATATCAGAGAGCAGAAGAAGGCATGGTAAAGAGATTGGATAGCATGTATACTGAATCCTCCAAGAGTTTTAGGTTTAGTTGTTTTATTCCAAGAGATGAGGTGGAGCTTTTTTGCATTAATGTTACCATGGAATAAGAATATATAACAAATATTATTGATGAATTTACAACCAAATTTAGGTATGATTGAACCTCAAATCCAATATGCAAGGGTATTTAAGATAGTGAACCGGAGAAATTGGATTTTGCCAGCAAAATAAAGAATTCTAGCCTCCAAACCATCAAGTAGAGCAGTGATAAAGTTCATGACAAGTTGAAAATCAGATAGAAGAAGTCTTTTTGGGGATATAGGAAGGCTAAAATACTTTAGAGAAATATCAACATGAGTGATGCCAATAATATTACAAATGCTAGAGGTAACATTGGTGTCTTTAGAGAGGAGAATGTCACTTTTATCATTGTTTATATAAAGACCATATGAGGTTCTAAGAGTTTCTAAAACGTTTTTAAGAGAATGGGCATTATGAGAGTAAGCTTTACCAAAAATAAGTAAGTCATCCGCATACACAAGATGGGTATAATTTTTCTCAGCAATAGTGATACCATTAAAGGGGTATTCATTGGAGGTGTCTTCTTCCAACAACTAAGAAAGTTCATCCATTATGATGCAGAAGAGATAGGGGGACAATGAATGACCCTTCCTCAAATGTGTGGTAGATCCAAAGTAACCTTCAAGTGCACCATTGATATAAATCGATAAATTGACATTCTCAATGCAAACTTTAATCCAAGAAAGAAAGAGCCGAGGAAAATCTTTTTGCTCCACCATGCACAACAAAAATTCCCTGGAAACAGTGTCAAATGCCTTTTGGATATCAAATTTGGCAAAAAAAATCCTTCTAGTTATCAAATTGAATTCCCCCAGAAATTCTGAAGCAAGCAAGATATTGTTAGTTGAAATCCTCTTATGTATGAATTCAGATTGGCTTGAATGTGTAATGAAAGTCATTATGTACTTCAATCTATTAACTAAAATATTAGCTATAATTTAATAAAAAAAAGATTACATAGGAATATAAGTCTAAAGTCTTTAATATAGCTGTCATGAGGTTGTTAAGGGATTAAAGCAATAACCATGGTTTTTGTTCTTTTAGGCATATGGGTAGTGAAAAAGAAACATTTGAAAGCTCTACAAACATGCTGTCCAATAGGGGTGTCAATTTTTGACACGACCCGAACCCGATCCGAAGAAATCCGGGTTCGGGTTGAACAAATCAACCTGTTTTAAAAATCGAGTCTAGTTCGGGTTGACCCAACAACCTGAAATTGTCCCGAAAGTGACACGAAAACTCATATTTGACCCGAAACCCGAGATTGACCCGTTTTGACCCGAAAATTGAATATTGACCTATTTTTGACCCAAGAATTAGCATTTTTAGGTCAACTTTTGGTCATTCGTATCGGGTCGGGTTCGTGTATGGAACCTGACCCGTTTTTAAAAACGGGTCAGGTTCGGTTTTACCCGAACAGTGCCGGGTCAGTTCCGGGTTCAACCCGAACCCAACCCGCTGACCCGAATTGACACCCATACTGTCCAATAATATCCCAAGCATCTTATAGAATTCAAAGGTGAAGCTATTACGACCTTGAGACGAGGAAGAGGGGTTGGAGAAGATAACACATTTGATTTCCTCATTAGTTAAGGGGCAACCATTGAGGGAGTAAGGTGGGCAATTAGTATTACCAATGGGGATGGAGGAGACATATGTAATAGTGGTTATGTTGGCATTGAATAAGTTTTGGAACTACTGGATGATGAAGTTGGATATCATGGGTGACAGAAAAATGGCTAAAAATAATGGAATTGTTTTTTATTTGTTTATATTACTTCTAATTCTAGCAAATAAAAACTTTAAGTTATTTTTTCCATTAGATAATCATCTAATGCTAGATCTTTGAGACAACCAAGAACCTCAAGAAGAATAGCTATAAGTACGATTAAAGTTAAGTTTTGTTTTGAACGATTTTTTGACTGTTTCTTAAAGCTATTTTTTAGTACAAAGATAAAAAATATTGTATTAAAAAATTATTTTAAGAATCAACAAAAAGCTGTCCCAAACTAAAATTTATTCTCCTTAGAGCTAAAATTTAATGAGGGGTCAATCAAATGTGAGCAATTATTATTATTATAATTATTATTAATAAGTTCAATCCAGCACACCCATAACCAGGCTTCCCCGCGGTCTCTCGATGCTGCTGCTTACTTCCCTCCCTCGTATTTCTTACACCTGAAGGCATCATGCGCTTCTTCGATTTTCTTCCTCAACTAATCGATTGATCGAGTGTTCTGGGTCACGCAGCCCGGTGACTTAAGTCCTGCGACAGTGGTGGCGCGGCTGTTGAAAAGAAAGAACATCGGTCTAAAGCTTGGGTTGATTTGGATGCTCGATTTTGCCGTTCTAACGCATAGATCTTGGATCGACATCCACAGGAAGGATTCGTGCAGGAATTGATCTGATTGTCTTTACAACTTTGTATTTGTGTATGCACGGTTTCTCGATAGATCTGTGTTATTTTTCGTGGATCCGGCAACTAGGGTTTCGGAGATGTACGCCAGATCCGGGCAATCTTCTTACCGTGATCGGACGCAGGAGTTTCTTAATGTAGCTGAGAGGTTAAGGAAGTCGCTATCGTCTGCCTCAAATGCGCAGAGTAGTAATGTTGGGTTAAAACTGGAGGGCCCGAAGTTGGCAATCTCCATCCAGTCGGAATTTAGCAAGAGAGCTTCAAAGATTGGGCTCGGGATTCATCAGACTTCGCAGAAGCTTGCTAAACTTGCAAAATGTAAGACCTATGCTTATAATTTCTTAGTCTTTGGCTGCTAATTCTCTTAGGAAGATGAGTTCTTATGAAGGGACTATTTTGTCTCCTGATATGCTGAGGCAATATTCTGCATTGCTGTTATATGAACTCAAGTATTAACTGCTTGTTAAATACGGTCTTTGAGTAATTTAAATGATGGCAGTTTAGTTATTTGGAATTGAATTTTTTTTTCTGTTTTTTTTTTTGTTTTTTTGTTTTTGCATTCGTATTATAACTATCTGATACTGAATTCTGCATGGGAAAAAAATTTATTGTGAATATAGAACTATGCATTCTGGCTACTAATTATCTAAAAACATGAGAATTCATCAAAGCATGAATGGGAAAATTGCAGACAATCACATGTAAAAAAAGGAAGGGGCAGAAGTTATACAAGGCATTTCTTCATTATCCTCCTCTTCTTCTTCCTCCTAAACATAATCATTAACCTTACCAAAATTGTTCGGTGTCTCTTTTATGAATCCTTTTGTATTCATTTCTCTTATGTTTTTCAACTCTAGCATGCAAAAATCTCCTGATATTCTGCACTTGGTTGTGACATCGTGAAAATTTTGTGAGAAAGTTTTGAATACCTAACATTTTACCAATTAGCACTACTTTTATGGAAAATTGATTCACCTTTGTTACAACCGAGTATCTTATTGATAGAGGAATTGACATTAGCGTGTGCAATGAAATTATCAAATAAAAATAAATTTAAAAAAAAAAAGACTATCAAAATTGTTAAATTTTAAGTTGTTAATGTTAATACCTCAAAACATTAGGTTATCAAATCCTCAGGTCAACAAAACTAGTGATTTTGCAACACCTTAATTTAGCCAATTAGAACCAATGAAGTAAAAAAATAGTCATGGAATTTATTCACGTCGAATAAGGCTAAAAGACATGATAAGTGTAAATATTGTGTTATTTTATGTGTTATATTTTCATTGAAAATATATTGTTTTAGTTGTATTGTGCAAGAAAAATACATAAAAGGAATAAAAGTCTAAGTTTCATATAGTGCCACGACATGAGAACAAACAACACCATCAAGAATATCGTCAGAGCGCCAGGACATTGACATGGAAGCGCCAACTTCTCTATCAGACAGCGCCGCGATGCAGCAGCTGTAACTTCCAAGGACACGATCTGTCAGCAAAGCGACGCGATTGTTGATTAAGTAATTGATCCAAGTTAGCAAGCGCCGCGATGGAACTAGAAAATCAACTCAACGGCGTTAATTCATTTGTTGGGCACAATGGTGCCAATATTTCAAGCGCCACAGGGCCATATGACTATTTTGTGTTTTTCTATAAATAGTCATTGTGTTATGTTTGTTAGAAAGTTCAGTCACTTAGATAATTTCAATATAATTCAGAGTGCTTCTCTAAAATTTTCTTAGGATAACAACTAAAGAAATTTAGAGAAGTACTTGATACCATCATTAAAGTGTTTGACTTATATATGTTGAAGCAATTTGCAAGTAAAAAGGAGTGTAGAGGAGATCTATTGAACCAATCAGATGAATATCTATCTCTTGTATTTTTTTTTCTATCATGCTATTAATAAAAATGAGTTTGTTTCAATTCTACTCTATTTATGGCTAAATTCTCTTGTTTTGAATTGATGATATAAGTACCATATGTAGTACTAATAAATTCTTTTATTCATTAAATGATTAAAAATATATTTTAATATTACCAGATCTTTATTTAATGCACACAATGACATATATGTAGTTAAAATTAGGTGTAATGTGGGGCCTCGACGGAGGTAAGCAAGCCTAACCAGGTATATTGAATTAGTATGCATCATGCTTAGGCATAGGGTATGAAATTACAAAATTCTTAAGAAGATACAACTACAGGAAGTCTGTAGACATCCTTTGTTCCTACAAATTCAACATAGATCTAGGAATGCATATTCTCTGAATAGCATCACAATTAAAAGTGATTCATTAGGAAATATATTATTTGCATTCATCAATTCAAAACATTATATCCATATAGTGTATTCATTATCTTTATCTAATTTTAATTTAACTGATTGAATATCCACAACATATATTTTTATTGGGTAGGATAATTCTTGTAATTTTAGTAAATAATACTAGTGTTTGAAAGTGAGCATATCTTTATCGTGAGATCGATATTCTACTCTATCACTATATTACTTGATTCAGCACATATACTTGCGTATATTAAGTGATATTTTTATAATTTTTTCATATCAAAGAAAACCTAAGCATTGTTAGAGATTGATAGAGCCCTAAATCATTTCACAATTTTATAGGTTACTGCACATCCCTCATTGTTTTATGGGATTTACAAGCTATATATGGTTTACCTATCTCGGGGGATCCTTATGAAGAATGTATTCATCTAAATCTAAATTATGATCTTTTTAGTCGTTAACAGGTTGGTCAACAAAGGAGAAGGTGGTCTTCATCAGACTTTGACTCATTATCATCATCTTTATTTATAGCAGAATACAAATCACATTCTCCATAGAACTATTTTTTTAAATGTTTAGGTTGAGAGCTTTTTAGGCCGAAAGGCATATGTTGCTCTCTTTGCTCGACTTCATGATTCTTTTGGTAATGGATTTCATTTTACGGATAAGTTCATAGAAGAAATGCTTCAGCCTGCATTAGCAAAGGGCGTATACTCCATTTTGGCTAGGGGTGTCATCGAGGAGATGTTCTTTGTGGCTTTGATGGCCACATGGTTATGTTACTTTGTTTTTCCTGGTCAAGATAAATTTTTTCGTCTCGGAACTCTTTTGATGGCTAGTTTAATTGCACGTGGAAAGATGATTTTTTGGGTCGTGCAGTATTTGCATAGATATATCGTGGATTTAAGTGAATTAGTATCATGTATGGTTCACATCAATATAATGTGGAGGTCCCTTGGCATTATATTCATGGATAGATCCATATTCATATTGCTGGTGTTTTTAGTTGTCCCGAGTTACCTAGCTATTTTACATACAAACGTTTCTCTCTTATGATGCAACTTACTAGGGCTATGTCTGTTACAGATCAAAACTATATTTGGATGTTCTTGTTTGCTCATTCTCACATGATTAATTGTTTTAAACTTATCCACATATCACCCATTGGGCGTCTATTGCTTCAGAGCTTGGGTATAAGGTTTTTTTATTCTAACATTCGAGGAGGTCGACCTTTATTTTCTAGATATGTTTATCAACCTATTGTAGAATATTTTGCTAGCATGAGACTTGGTTTACTATGTTATTGTCGTCATGATTATGTGATCTTGAAAGGATACATTCCTAATAGGGCAGCTCGCCTGTTTGGGTGTAGACGGGCTACCAATAATTCTTGGAGTGGTTGATTTTCGTTGCTTGGATTCTCTTCCATTGCCAACTCTCATTGAGACGGCTTCTATGACTTGGGTTTTTATTCTTCGTTTCGATACAGGTGCCTATTTTTTATATTGCACATATGGATGTTCAAACTGGTATTGGACATTTACAGTTGTCCTGGGTTCATCAAACGTTCTCGACTTTTTTTGAATTGGGGATTCAAACATATAGCAGGAGAGTTAGAGCATCGAAACGGCCGAGACAATTAATCATCATTGTTGAAGAATTTAAATAACAAAAAGAGAGAGAGAGAGAGAGAGAGAGAGAGAGAGAGAGAGAGAGAGAGAGAACTCACCGTTAATTTTTTTAAAATAACAACTTTTTATCCTTTGAAAAATGACTTCGGTAGATATATATAATAAAATATAAATATTTATTTTCAAAACTTTTTAATAGATTTCATAAATTAAGCTTATTTAAATTAAATTAATTAATTATAGATTGACATTATCACTTAGCATGATGCGCATGAGCTCACATCTCATGGTTGTTTTGCTCTCGTAACTCTATCTTGCTCGATTAAATTGGCACGAAACAACTCCATGACGCATTGGACATTTTTTTTTTTGCCCCAGACGCTCGACCAACCTCGACTACACGCAATAATTGTTCACCCGAGTAAGAGAATGGAAAGGATTTTAATTTTCTAAACTTGAAGGGTGTGAGGGTAATCGCGAGTTTGGAGATTGCAACTACATCAAATTAATCATCTTTCCTCTTTAAAAAAATATAAATATAAAAGAAGAGAAATTAAAATAAAAAAAGTAGGAGAGACACTAAGTGTGTGTGCGTGCTGTACGTCGTGTGGGTGTAAGCCCCAATCTTATGTTGCACCGATACGGATACGATACAGATACGGGGCACATCAATTCTTAAAAATACAGGATACAGGTACGGCGCGGACACGACATTATAATTTATAAATCATACATAAAAATTAAGAAAGCAATCTGCAATCAAAACATAATATTTGAAATTACAAAAAAAAATGGCAACAACATCATTTGTAGCATTGTATCTTATGATATCAAAATATAAGTAAGTATTAAATGTCTAGTACAACAACAAAAGCATAAACATAAATTATTTAGCACATGAAGTTTCAAGTATTCAATAGAAGGAATGATATAATTATTTTCTTCATTGGTTTGTCTTTGAACTTCCATACCATCTTCAATAAATAACAAAGCTTCTAATTTAGGCTCATTAAGTGAAAGATTAATAATTTTTACTATTTTCATATCATCAAGAAACTCAAATCCATCTCGGAAATGAGAGAATCTTGCTCGCAACCGCGAAAGTAAATACGACACGTCTTTTTTTTTTTTCCGGATTTCTATTTGTTTTTCAACGGACACGCGTATCGGATACACGTCCTTTTGAAATTAAATAGTATTTTAATTGGATACGACTTTGATGTATCCGACACGTATCAGTGGAGTATTGGAGGCGTATCCGTGTATCGGTGTATCGGATACAACACGCCTTCATAAATAGGTGTATCGGTGCAACATAGCCCCAATCTAATTAAATTTGGGAATTCTAATGGATGTGATCCCAACCCAATTTAAATCATGAAATTCTAATGAATGTAAGTCTGAAACTTAAATTACATTCAAGCCAGCTTCTATGCTAACAAGCTCACTAAATTAATTAAACTCTAAAATTGTAACAAGCTAAAATCTACACTCAATCACCTCGGTCTACTCGTGATGTCTGAGAGGAGGCAACATATGGCTACTAATCAAATTCCCCGGATGTTATGACTTATAGGTTGTTAATGTTTTTAGACTGAGATCGTTGGTATTCTTGGGATAATGGAACCATAGGATCTTGATCATGTTTACCTTCATCTCAAACAAACATCTCTCATTTATTCAAATAAATCTCAAGTCACTAATTTTGAAATTAAAATTATATTAGAGTAACTCATTCTTAATCGAGAGTGCTCTCCCATGAGTGGGATGAGTAATTAATTTTGAGGGTTTGCACTCATAGGAAGTTGAGGTCTCAAATCTAATATAGTTAATAAACATTAATTTTCCTCATAAAGAATGGAATCCTAGCTTAGAAGACGGAGGATCGTGCATCATTTTTCTTGAGCGAACATGCATGTATTATTCAAATGTTGTATTACTGTAGCACCTTGAAAGCCTTATATGATTTGATGTTGAATTTTGGCTAATAGGGAAGTATGATTCTATGTGAAATCTAATTTTAAAATTAAATTGCCTCTTTGGATTAATTGAAATCTAAATTAAGCTAATCCTTTGTCAATCTTATTTATTAATCTAGGATATAAGGAGCCTATAAATAGTTGTTTGAGGCTGATAATTGAAAACGTCCATTTTTTTTTTTGCTTTAAATCCTTGATAAGTTCAACTTGGACGTGTGATTTCTTTGAGCGTGGTACAATTACAGTAGCTTTATTCTGAGGAAGACTTCTCCTTGTACTGTGCGAAACCTATTTTTTCTCTACTATGATAATTTTTTTTCTTTGCCTATCTCTTCTGTGTACTTTATTTTTGTTTTTCTTAGAATTCATGACTTCGATAAAAAAATTGGTATGGTAGAAATCTAATTTTGCAAAAATTAATTAGTTTGCTCACTAATTTTTTGTTTTTTCAAATTATTCTGAAAATGTTAGATATTTTAGATAATTTTATTTTCAATTGAGTTTGAAGATTATTATTGTATGCTTTCATTTAAAGAAAATGAGTTGTATTAATTAATAACTTTTAATCTACAAATTCTTTATTTTACTTTGCATGAAAATGTATTATGCAATATGCATCTAGTTGCATCAGAAATCCCTAACCTTGAGTTGTCATACATTAATCTCTTTGTATCTTTTGCATTGTAGATTAGCTATACTAGTCCAAGCACCCCTACACACAGCCAGAACCACCCTTCTCCACCCCCATACAAATACGCACAGCCCCTCGCCAAGCATCACTTGGATAGCTTAGAAGATCCAGCACTTCTACTGTACCTGCTTAATACCTACTTGATAAAAACCTAGTGCAACACTCTGTGCACCCCAACCTCCTACTGATGGGCTTGAAATGAATGCAACCTATCCTCTTTGCACACTCCCTCTTTAGTTAGATAATGCATTGCATACGCAATAATCTCTCTCTTAGTACATTTAAAACTCAAATTCATAAATAAACTCTTATATATCCAGATTGCATTAATTGGATGACAGACAATATTGCTTAATTATAGCTCCTTATTCATTGTAAAAATAATGTTATAATGTGGACAACGTAGAATTCAAATGACACAATATCCACTCCAACTACATTTAAAATTATAATAAATAAATAAATAAATAAATAGATAAATATATGAAATCCTATCTATCTTGATCTTTATTAATTGGAGGGCAAATAACACACTGCATAATTATATTCCCTTAATCATTTTAAAAATGATGTTATGATGAGTACAGCTAAAAATTCCTGTAGCACATATTTTTGACTTTCTAGTTTTCTTGCATTGAGAATTCAATAGCCTGATTTTTTGAGGTATAAACATCAACAGTTTGAAGATTCATTATGTTGGTATCATTTATTTTTGTTTCTTATTTTCTATTTATCTGCAATTCTGTTGTGTAACATGAGTTAATTTAATTGTTTTGGTCTCATTTACATCAATTTCAAGCTATTTTTTGCTTTTAAATCAATTTCATGCGCTTCTTTATTTATCCCATAACAAAAGTTGAACATTCATATTCTATGTCCTTTCCCCTCATGAAGCAAAACCAATGAAGTACATAATCTCTATGTTGCTTCTCTCTCCACACATCTAGCCCTCAATCGTTAAGTATCAAAAAAAAAAAAAAAGGAAAAATCTAATTCTTAGAAATGAAAATCTATTTTCTCAACAAACCACCCAAGATGTGGGTTTTGATTTAAAATTCATATTCCCCCCTTAAAATTTGAATGTAAGTATAATATCGTATTTAACTCAAATTCTTAACCAATTTTCAGAATCCATCCACTAAATTAGTTCATGTAATCTAAATCAAATTCAGATTTTGTTCCTTGAGGCGTCTTTCTTCACTCTCTAAGCGATCTCTCTCCTAATCAAGGCCTTTACATGATAAGAAAATATTAAAAAAAAAGTTAAAGAAGATGAAATATATGGAGGGCTTCTACTTCAACAGTTCAACTACAAAGATTTCTTGAGATACCAACCACACGTCTTCCTAAAGATACGGTATCAAGATACAAGTTTGATCGTTCTCTGTGATGAGGTCTCATTGCTATTATAAATTGAGTGCTTTTGTTTATTGATTGGCAAATCCAATGTCATGTATATTTCCTTATTTTAAATAATGCACATTATAATTAACTTAATATCAACTTGTATGTGTGTGTTAATGGGGAACTTTTTTTTCCTGAGCTCCCAAATTGTGTGTATTTATGTATGAACTATTATAGGTTGGCTTTATTGTGTGCTGAAAGGATTCCTTTATATTTAAATTCTTGTTCGCAATTGAAGTTGCAACCAATAATTAATTTAACAATATATGTAGGGTTATCCGTTGGTTGCGGTTTGTATCATCAACATTATATATTTGATTTTGACTTTTTAAGGTGTAAATATGAAATAAAAGTGAGGAACAAATTGAGTAGATAATAGATATGATAACATAATAGTAAGAATGAGTATGAGTTCAAATATAAATAAATGGAAATCTAGAAGATAAATTTAATAGAATATTGGGTAAGTTAGATGAGATGACGGCCCAAATGAAAGTCTTAAGATTTCAAATTAATAAATAAAAGATTATTGTAAAGGAACTTCTCAGCATGTTCCATCCTTGCCTAATGACCTTATAGGGAACTCACTCTATAGGACATCTTCATCTTTTCCATATGCCTTAAATGACTTGATATAGTGTTTGACAATGTGTCTCTTAGGGCATCCATCATAGAAGCCATGATGCATCTTTATCTTAGGTTGTCGAAATTGTCCTTAGGTTGGGTCTATATATCTGTGTCATGCCAAACCCAAGACTAGAAACCTCAAAACAACATGGATCCCTGTGATCATCGGGATTATAAACCAAAAAGAACATAGAGATCACAGGCCTGTAGATCTTATTGAAGATTATTATTCTAGTGATGTTTAATATGATTAACACTATAATGACCGTGAAAGAGATCATACGTTTCATTATGAATTTGAAGCAAAAATAATGGCAAAGGTCGTTGCTCTCAATTTTAATGATAAATATGATACAAATGTTTCTCTTCATTCGTTTCTGAACTTGAGGGTCTCTATGTTAAATATGCCAAGACTGGGTTGGTAGTGTTTAGAGATTTTGATTGTGAGTACACCATGGCCGACAATTTTGATTAATGTCTTGTTTGAACTTGCATTGATATGAAAGCTAGAATGAGAGGCAAATACCTACCTTCTGGTGTTAAGATACATAAGTTTGCATCAATTCTGAATTTTCATTTACAAATGTAGTAATAAGAAGTAATTTCATGACATCTTCGTTGATCTTACTCATGCAAGAAACTTGGGGTGCCTCAACATAACCTAATCAGCTAGAACATAAGTATGTTAGCATTGTATAGCACAGCAAAATTGTAGTAGCGTTTCCTGTTATATGCTGCAAAGTTTTTTCGATGAGTGTGTTTGTATTGTTTATCCCCAGGACTGAAGTTGCTTTCATTTGACAACTTCTAGCCTACTGAATTTCAACATTGAAATCTTCCATCTGCCTTGTTCTCCTTAGATTATGTCTTCAGATGGAAATACCTATTCCAATTGATCTTCTGTCAGTAAACTTTGTTAGAACTGAATCCCAGAAAGATTGGGCCATCCAGCAAGTTTTCAGATAAGCTTTGAATCACAATGATACCCAGCTTGAGCCTTGAAATTCAAATGTTTAAATGGATATATTTGCTTTACACGCAGGAGCCTCTGAATTTGATAAAGAATTATTCTAAACCCTTATTGTCCTCATAGAATCCCAGCATGCGCTTAAATCTCCTTGTATTATTTTACTCCACTTTTTCCCCTCCTGTGGGCTATCTAATAATATTGTTATGGTTTGAAGTGATTTTAATCTTGTATCTCTATTTGACATGTCCCTAATTTTTACCTCATACCGTATTGTTCAGTGGCAAAGAGAACATCAGTTTTTGATGACCCAACTGTTGAGATACAAGAACTGACATCCGTCATTAAGCAGGACATTACTGCTCTAAACTCTGCAGTAGTGGACTTGCAGCTCCTCTGCAATTCACAAAATGATAGTGGAGATATTTCCGGTGACACATCTACTCATTCTACCACTGTGGTTGACAACTTGAAGAATCGCTTGATGAGTGCAACAAAAGAGTTCAAAGAAGTTTTAACCATGAGGACTGAGGTATGTCCTAGAATTCAGTTTAACATGAAGGAATTAAAGTCCAGAAAAGGATTGTAATTAAAATTTTCTCTCTTTTCCATTATGCAGAACTTGAAAGTACATGATAATCGGCGACAATTGTTCTCCTCTTCAACTTCAAAGGATTCTAATAATCCTTTTGTTCGACAAAGACCTCTGATCTCAAGGGCCACATCTGACTCAGGTGCACCTCCAGCACCATGGGCAAATGACTCGGCATATACTTCTGAGTTGTTTCCCAGGTAATTTGTTATAATAACAACACTTAGAAATAGCTTAGTTAATTTTCTTGGACATGTAATGGTATTAGATAAGGTAAAAAGCCTTAGTTTCCAGTTTTTGAGCCTTGGTCAGTTGGAAGCTACTTGATTTATTAACGGTCAATTTTCCTGCTTTTGAATGAATAAAGGTGAATTTGGAATAGTGGATCATAGTTTAATTTCTGTAAATGGTAATGTCATTTTATGAAAATTTCCATTATTATTGCTGTGAATTTTCAGGAAGAAAACAAATGGGGATCCATCCTCATCAGCTCAGCCCTTACTGCAGCAACATCAGTCGATGGTTCCATTACAGGATATTTACATGCAAAGCAGAGCAGAGGCCCTCCAAAATGTTGAATCTACTATTCATGAGCTGAGCAACATCTTCACTCAGTTAGCCACCATGGTTTCCCAGCAGGGAGAGCTAGCTATAAGGTTCTGAAAAAAGTTTTACTTTTCTTGTGGATTTTTACAGTTGAATTTACTAGTTTTTCACCTAAACCTTCAAGTAATTTTTATATACCACCCTTTCACTCATCAACGTTTATAAAGATGCCGCTGGTTAGTTGTTATTACCTTAGGGCATCTCCAACCGAACTGCAACCGCTTGAATGGCGTCCCTGGCCAGCTCCAGCGAACCGCAAATTTCCTGCTATTTGGCTGCGAGTGAACAGTGGGACGCCAATATTGGCGTTGCACTGTTCATCTCCGCCATTTTTACCTCTACCGAACTTGGCGCGGGAAAGAAGAGAGGACCGTTACCTGCAAAAGTGTGAAAAGTGGAGTTCGATTGGAGATGAATCTTGACATTTTGTAGTTTCACGGTATTTTTGAGTGAAAAATGAGATTTTCGGTTGGAGATGCTCTTAAAGCATATATTACATCAAAATTCTTCTTTTAAATGACCATTAAACATCTTATTTATAAGTATACCCTCATGATCTGAGTAGGCAAAGTCTTAATATGACCAAGGCTTCGTTTGGGATGGCTTTCTTACTGATTCTTAAAATAGCTTTCTAGTATAAACAATTTAACTTTTGTTCTAGAAAGCTGCTTTAAGAAGTAGTAAGAAAGCCGTCCCAAATGAAGCTTAAGGCTTCGTTTGAGATGGCTTTTTTACTAATTTTGAAAACAGCTTTCTGGTGTAAAAATAAAAAATTTGTGTGATAGAAAGATGTTTTAAGAAGCAGTAAGAAAGCCGCCTCAAACGAAGCCTAATTAGGTCATTAACCGATAATAGACTTATTGTCATATCAAAGAATTGGAAATTCCCTTTTTCCCCCCTTAACTTTATCTGCCTAATTTGACAAACATTTCAGTGAAATTATTATGCATATTTTGATAGGATTGATGAGAATATGGATGACACATTGGCTAATGTTGAAGGAGCACAGGGCCAGCTACTGAAGTACCTCAACAGCATATCCTCCAACAGGTGGTTGATGCTGAAGATATTCTTTGTATTGATAGTTTTTCTTATGATCTTTGTATTTTTTGTTGCATAATTTTGTTCCAAGGCATCAACCTCCTCCTTTTTCCTATTATTTTGCTTTTCTTGCCTTGTTTAATGGCTATAATGTTTGGATCTCATTCCAGAATAATATATAATAATTGTTGCTCCCCTTGGAATGAGTGCTATGATCACAATGTTGCCTGAATTCCATTTCTGAACTTAATATCATGATAATTGTTTCTGATTCTTTCAATATCATTAAATTTGTTTTGCAGATGAAGTTCTTTGGTAAGGGATTGAAAATTATAATCACACAAATCTTTCTCTTGCTATCAAATTTTGTTATTTAAGATATTAAGTACTTCACATTAGGGTTTTCACTCAGATTTTATTTTGATAGTTTTTTTACTGTTTTCAAAAAACTTTTTAATAAGAAAAGTTTTTGAACTAAATTTTTATATTAGAAAATTATTTGAAAATATAGTAAGAAAGCAATTCTAAATTAAGGCTTCGTTTGGGATAGTTTTTTATTTTTTTATTGCTTCTTAAAATAATTTTTTGCTATAAAAATTTTAATTTTTATATTAAAAACTACTAAGAAAGCCGAAAGCTCCATTTGAGAACGTTTTCTAGCACAAAATTTTTTAATTCAAAAAAAATTGTACAAAAAAGTCATTTTAGAAAGAACCAAAAAAGTTCTCTAAAGGCTTTGTTTGAGACAGCTTCGTTTGGGATGACTTTCTTATTGATTTTTAAAACAATATTCTAGTAAAAAAAATTGTACTGAAAATTTATTTTAGAAAATAATTTAAAAATTATCCCAAATGAAGGCTAAATGGAAAAATTAGAAGATGTTGATGTGAGATATTTTTATTATATAATATTTAGCACTTAATCCGGTCAATTGCGCCCTTCAATCTTTCCATAGCATAGTAGTCTTCAGTTCCTCGATCTTAGTTATAAATAAAATCAGCCATTAATAAGTGAATAATCAGTCTAGTTAATTGGTGAGCTAGCTCGATTTGGATTCAATAATAACTTGTGAGTTATTCTCTATGAGTCAATAAGACAGTTTGAGCTAACTCTAATTCAACTCATCAGCTCATAAATGACTAGTTTTAACTCAATAATTTTAGTATAAATTTATTAAAAATATTTAAATATATCTTTTTTTTATTGGTTAAGTGTTTTTTTTTATTACTCTCATTTAATTTTATATTTTTATCATGGTATTAACTTATTATAATAATGGTTTAAATAAGACTAATTTCTCACTTTTATAATAAATGAATTTGCTCATGAACCAACTTGAACGTGTAGAATTAAGTTCGAATTCGAGCTTCAACTTTATTAATTAATCAAGTTTAAGTCAAAACTTGCTCGTACACCCTGACCACCAATATTAAACAAAGCTATAAATTTTACTAGTCACATGGGGCGGTATATTTACATGCAACTCACCTTAGTTTGATGTTTGGGGGCTTTAGCTACCAAATAAGAGGTTTTGACTCGAGTCTTGCAAATGCGATGCGTGTGTTTGCCTTAATAATTATATTTACAAAAATGTGATAGCTATAAAAAAAACTATTATTCAACATTATAAAAAATCATGAAACTTGCATCAACTTTAAAAGATTAAAAAATTTCAAATAATTCTACAGTATCTCTTATAAGTGCCCCAAAATTTGTAAAATGTATATATGAAAAATGTCTGATATTAGTCCTAAAATATTTTTAATCAAACCTACTTTCAACACAATAAAACCTTATGAATGAAGGCTTCATTTGGGACAGCTTTCTTACCGTTTCTTAAAAAGTTTTTTAGTACAAAAAAGTTTAAAACTAATTTTTTTTGTACTAAAAAGCTTCTTTAGATAACAATAAGAAAACTGTTCCAAAGGAAGCGGAAGTCAACAACTAATATATATATTTTAATACATTTTTAACATATAAAAATCATTAATTAAAATACTTTAGTTATAATAGCTAGGCATGCTACTTGTAAATACACTTTTTTTTTTGGACATTTAGGCCATTTAAGGCAAATTCACACACACAACGCATACACAAAGACTCACAAAGACTCGAACCCAAGACCTCTTAGTTGGAAGCATAAGCTCTCAACCAACAGGCCAAGATGAGCTGTGTTAAATACACATGTTGATAAGGTAGTGACCAAGCAAGTCTTGAGAGAGAGAGAGAGAGAGAGAAGATTTTTGGGAGGATAGAAAAAGAAAGCATGTGGTAAATTCCTCTGCACACATTTTCTCCTTTATGTGCACAAACTTTAATCAGTTCCCTTAATGCTCTGAGGCAGAGACCCACCTGCTGTCTATTTTTAGGAGAAAAGAAGGAAATGTTCTCTGTAAAGTTTCCTTTGTCTAGCAATATCCCATCTTTGGAGTGTCTTTTCTCCTTTTCCTTTTCTCTACACTAAAAAAAAGTTCATGTGGAGGGAAAAAGAAGCCTCCTTTGTGGTTTTATGTAAGTCATTTCAACTACTATACCTATGTTTCTTTATTGATTTCTCTCACTCTAAGGCTTAGTTTTATACAATTATATTCATGCTTTTGCTTTTGCTATTTACAAAATTAATATCTTCATATTTCTATTTTTAAAATTTGTCAATCAAATATATAAATTCATTATAAAATTTTTGTTCGTATTTTTTACTTATGTCAAATTCTTCACAATTTGATCATGGTACGTGCAAATACACGCTCAATAGGTCAAAAAAATAATGCGAATGTTAGGTTTATAAATATTGCAATCCACAACAAAATTTTAGTCCATATTTTTTTATTATGTGAAATTCTTAGCACTTGAATCATGGTACGTGCAAATATACGTTTGATAGTTGAAACGAATAACATGAGCATTAGTTTCATTAACGTATATATTTTGAATGTTATATATTTAATTATCACAAAAATTTATTGCATTTGTTTTATAGAAATATAAATTTTTCTTATAAATCAAGTTATGTGTTCATAAAATGATAGAAAAAATTTCATAAAATAATATTTTTCTAAACATATTTCTAAAAATTAAGTATTAAAAAGAAAAGGAAAAAAAAGCTAAGATTTTGTATGTCATAACCATATAAATAGTGTGATTTTTTCATATTGTATGAAAGAAAGCCATCAACACATATTCTCTTAAATCACAGAGAAGATAGCATGTAAAATATTGATTTTCACAAACCATCTAATATAACAAAAAACTATAATATTATAAAAACATTTGCATAGAAATATCAAATAAAGCCTAAGTTAACATAGTACAATATATGGTGATTTCTAGGAAGCATATATAGACTTCAATGTGATCAATAAATTGTGAGGGCCCCACTTCCCATATTTGAGTGCAAGAGATATTAATATGATGGACATAAATTAAGGAAGGAGCCAATAACTAACACTTACATGATGATATGAGTTTCTCAAGAACAATAAGAGATTTATTGCCCAATGAATGAAGAAGACATCAGCTATAAAATCAAGTTATGATGGTGAAAAATGTAATCTTGAATTCAGGACATCATTTTCTGTGTTCAGGTGAGGAAGCATGAACTTGGTTCTTTTCACATGTACTCGAAATATCATTTTTAAGCTTCAAAAGTTTTGAATTTTAGGCTTCGTTTGCTATAGTTTTCTTCCTTCTTTTTACACCAATTTTTTAGTATAAAATTTTGTTGAAAATAACAAAAAGTAGTGGCCAAAAGCAGTTTCAAACAAAGGCTTTGATTTCGTTTGTGACGGCTTCCTTACTGCTTCTTGAAGCAACTTTTCAGTACAAAATTGTACTAGAAAGCTACTTGAAGAAGCAGTTAGAAAGTTGTCCCAAACGAAGGTTTAATTCTTCGATCATCATTATATATTATTTTCATTAATTTTGTTTTAATAAAATGTTATAATGATTAAAACTTTATTTTTCTCATGATTTTATCATAATTTTATGAATATAATTTTGTATGTTAATTGTGTGTAGCTCATCACATGCGTTTATAATGAACTATTTTAGAAAAGATAATCTTCTTTATTTCTTTCTTTCTTTTCAGTCAAAGAGAAGCCTGCAATTTTACCTTCTTAAGGAGGGGGCACATGTGGATAGAGAAAGGCTATGAGATGAATGCAAATATAGCTTGAACACCATAATGAATATTATGATCAGCATTAATGAAAGTAATAGATGTATATGAAAAATGTGAGAGCCTTAGCTCAATTATATTGAAATGTATTAAATAAAATTTACACTACAATCAAGCAAAAGAAGCTCAACCAAAACAAAAGAAAAAGAAAGAATATCAAAGAAAATAAAAAAGCGCACTTAGAAAATATGAAAATAGTGTTTGAAAATTGATCTTTGAAAGCTACAAACGCAGCTTTGTTTGCCTCCCCAAATTGTACAACATCAAATTTTTATCCCAATACATGGGATCAGCTACATGAATCTTTTTTTCTTCATTCTCTCGAATTAAGAGTCAATTTCTCATTTAAAATTGACGTTGTTGGATCCCAAGTCCTGGATGAGAAAAATAGAGGGTTGAGTTAGGTAGTTGAAAGCCAGCGTAAAACTTGTCGAACAATCATATCATGAATCCTCTTCAAAAAATATAAAGCTAAAATAAGAAGACTACATTGAAGAAGATAGAACATTAAAATAAAAGGTGAAGATAGAAGAAAAAAAAACTGTAATTGATTGAGATCTAAATCACATATACAGAAGATCATAAAAGAAGATGGGAATGTTTGTTTTGGAGTTGGAAGCTTTATATTTTTGGAAGAAGCAGCTTTAGAGACCCACCATGCAGGCTGGGGACAGAAACGAGAGCAATAATAAAAAGATTTTTGCACCAAAAGTGCATGCACTCAGAGTATAATTATATATACTATGCCATACACTTAAGATCTTTCCCCTAACATACAAGTTTTGTGGTCACGGGCTTGCATTGGTATTACCAAAAGTACCTACAGTGAGTAAAGAAATAGCTGGATTTATGAAGAACTAAGAAGGAGCTTTTGCTGGGGTTGTTTGAAATTTTATTACCGTTTGAAGTCTTTTTCTTTAGAGGAAAATTATCAAATTATATATTGATGTCAAATGTATATCATAGAAAATTCTTCTAATGAAATTATATATAGCTAAAGTTAACTTCTCTAGGCTTTCTATAGCTAGAGTTAAAATTGTTATTTCTGCTTCATTGACGATGGAGATTGATATATCATCAAAAAATTATCT